TGATCACCGAACTACATGCGCCAAAGATAACCCTGCAAGGACCATGCTATTCGTACATGGGGATTTACACCCCCATGTACTCGGGCCCACCTGCCCCCCTCACAATTGGGGGGGGGGGGGTCACAATTATTTTATTCATCGTGGGCCCTCCCCTCAGGTGAGGGGAGTGTAAACGGGGGTGTACACCCCCGTGCACGAATGGTTTTACCCTTTAAAGATTAAAATCTCTCTACCTCATGCTCTGATTATTTATTGAAATAGGTAGAGAACAGATGCATTTTTCTTTAGAAGTAGGCCCATAAGTCAGAAAGACCATATCGTAGAAGGATGCCAAGAACAATTGATTTCAAGTTTAGGACCGTTTGTCATCAAACTGTTGTTACCATGATTCAGGAAGAAATGTTACTGTGTGTACAGTGTGAACAGAGTCACCAAAGGCCCCTTTGATGATTAGGTCCACAAAATAAAAAATATATAGAAAAGTACAGCAAACATCATTATATTCACCTATGATGGAGAAAATAAGTACTTTGGTAATTTTTTATTAAGATTTTATGGTTTCTTCAGCAACTACAATATCAACACCACCAACAAACCAGAACAAAACCACTGGATAAGAATATGGCAGTGTGCTTTGCACTTAGGCAGCTTTCAACAATTATAAATAAACTGTAAAAATTCATCATGGGTTGGCAAGTTACCTGGATGCCCACTACCTTTCACCATGAGGTTATCAACTTCGAATCACTGCTGAACTAAATGTGTTTGTTTGCTCCTTCCATTGGCAGAGTATTCAAACTAGGTAATCACTTAGAAAAGAGAAATTTCATAAGTACACAGAAAAAACCCAAAAACTATTTTCAGCTACAACATTATGATCATTCCTCCGTTACAACTCCAGTGTTCACTAACCTAACCATGTATATCACATCAAGTCACCACACGCTCTTTTTTAAACTGCCACCTACCAAGTCTTCAACCAAACCTGACACCACCATACCCGACCGCTATATCCTCCTTAATTAGGTTGTCAATTTATTCATGTGAATCTACTTGAATCCAAAATGCAACATGAAACTGAATGTAAGAAACTATATTTGACCACAAGTCTGATAAAAATTCGTTGCATACAGTGAACCAACTCAACTGGTATGTTCTTCAATTTCAGATAAAAGTTTTCAGGCTCCGAAAATCAACTCAGATTATTTTGAATCTCATTAAAAGGTAATCAGAAGTGACAAAATTATAACAATTCTACAATCATTTCATCAAATCATTAGTGCGCATTGCTGGTATTGCAATTCCTCAAATATCTAAGATGAATATAAGATAACCTCGTACTTGATCGCACATGTCTCAGATTTGGGACATTTTTACTTGTAAATCCACAGTAGGAGGTAGGGCAAACAGTACTGATAAAAAAGTTCTCTCAACTTAGAACTGAGCAATAAAAATATAAAAGAGGCACTTGGTTGAACTAGTGGTTGAAGACATTTAGGGGTCTGATTGGAACTTCCAAGTTCGAATTAATGTGAAACACTTCTGCTTGGATGTAAGGATATGTCAACTGGAATTGCTTCTTAAGGTGAAATTATGAGCGGAGGAGAGGGCATATTTGAAATTGTCTGAAACAATATCAATCTAATTTTTACTTTTCAACACTGGACCAGGTGACCAGCTTTCTAGAATACATAGGTGAAATTTCAATATCACACACCCCACTTTACATTTCTTTGTTGTCTGTCTCCTTTTTCTCTTCTTTTGATACTTTAATGTCATTCAGTTATGGAATCTGACCCATTGAGAGGAAAGGTAAAATTTATACATTGGAACGATGAATTTTCTTCGTTAATAAAAGGCAAGAGATTTGATACTAGAAAATATGGCTACATTATAAATGACTGAGCACAATACTGTCCTACCAAAGACCGGCCAGAAACAAGATAAATCAATATCTTGCCCTTGTTTGGTACTAATTAAAATCTAAAATTTAATCTAAGTTAAAGTCAACAATCAATTTTAAACATATTTTATGGGACCTACAACTTTTTAACCCCACATTTCATCAGCTTTTATCAAAATCTACTAAAAATCTTATCTTAATCTCCACCAAACACAGGCCTTATAAATAACTGACCGATAATATTGACGACCAAATCTAATATCGAGTATATGGGTTAAACTGTAAACTTAAAACAAGTTTTAAATGCATACAGTTGCGTCCATATATATTAATTACTTGATATTGAATATTAAATTTGAGTTGCTGAACAAATTTGTTCGACACAAATTTTGCCGATAGTAGAGATCGATTATGATTATGCCCTAACATGTTGTAACTTCTATTCATGTATTAACAAAATTGGGTTATTACATGTCATTTATACTTGGAGGAGGACGTGCCTTTAGGAGCAGTTGAATGTTCAATATGGCTAAATATTGATTTAGGGTGTGTTTGAGCCACTTTATTTTGAAAGAATGTATTTTGAAATAGTAGATTGATGGAGAATGTGTGGTTGAAAAAGAAGGAAAAATTATTGATGTGATGAAAAATATTATTTTATTGAAGGATGTGTGGTTGAAAATAAGTAGAAGTAGGAGAAAGAAAAATTTAATGTGGCTCAAACATGGGCGTAGCCGCGTAGTCATAGGATGTAGAGATAGGAACAAGAAAAAAAAAACTTTTAACTAGCTATTGTTTGTAATTGTTAATGTCACATTGACTCTTAAGGTTTCTAGGATTCAGATCTGGCCAGCTGTACCAATAATGGACTCAAAATAGCACTGCATGGTGGTAAATGTTTCAAGGCAAATCAATGGGTTAAAATGGCTCTATTTTTGTTCTGTAATGGCATCCAAGGACAACATCAGTTAATTATCCAAATTTAACATTTGATTTAAATTCTTCAAATGACACCCTTCACCTAATAAGATGACCCTTAGAACTACAAATTCAAAACTCAGTTACACTGGTTATGACAGAGAATGTTATTAAGCGAATCAACAGTAATAAAAATTCCTGAAAGATAGGAAAGGTAATAAACCAGAAAAATCAGAAACTTACCTCTGTAGATACAAGGAGATGATAACTGATGGGGAACTCGTTGAGCTGTTTTAATGCGTCAAGGCATCGTTCCTCCTCCCCAGGTGAATTATCAGCTGCATCTACAGCCTTCTTCACGGCCTCGAAAAGCTCTGTTAGCTCCTTCTCCATTACACACAATCTATCAGAAGCAAAAGAAGAACCCGGAAACATGACCAAATCAGTCTTTCGAGAGAAAGTCTCTAGACGAAGGAAGCAAATGTATTAGAAAAGCTTTCTTAAACAGCACTATCATGGATAACTTAAGCATTCAAATATCAAAGCAACAAAAGCCACAAAAGAAAACTGTTTTTTCCAATTCATTACTACATTTTTGCAGTACGGAAGTAACAACGATACACGAATTGGAGCTTCAGATCTAAAAAAGAATGAAGCCAAGTCGAATTTAAACCTTTCACGCAAACTAAAAATCGATTTCTACAAATCACAGATAAATATATATCTAGAGACCGGAAACAAAAATGGGTATGTCAAATTAAAGCTTAAAATATCAATATACAGAATTAAATGTTGAAAAATGCATTCTCATACCCTTCCCTCCTTCCCCCTCTCCTCAAGAAAGACATTCTTTAGGGATTAGAGAGACAATTCATACATAAACATCTAAAAAATTAAATATGGATTAGAATATTAACCCGGTGACAAAAACGTTAAAGAAAATCAACCTTCACAACAAAAAAGACGATTTTTCTACAACTCACACATAAATTGAAAATCGAAAAAGGCATGCGAAATTAACCTTACAGAATCATATAATGGAATGCAGGAAGAGCTCGGGTAAGCTCGTCTTAAAGAAAACTGAAACCCTAATTTTAGTTGCCGCTACCAACCTGGTTTTGACGTTCGAAGGAGATAATCGGGGCTGAGCCGCTGAAGCGGGACGTACAATTCCACTAGACCACTACTAAAGAATATCTCGGTAGAATGAGGATTTGCTATCTGGAGTGGGATAAGGCCCTGTTTGGGAAAAAAATTGAGTGCTTATTTTACTATTTTATTATGATACAATGTCTTAAAACGAAAATGTCCGACTATCACATTTTAATTACACTTAGCCCTTGTTTGGTATCGATTAGAATCTAAATAAAAGTTTATAATTTATTTCAACCACATATTTTATGGATATCACAATTTTTCAACCACGTATTTTATTAACATCTATCAAAATCCATTGAAAATCTAATTTTAATCTCCACCAAACAGAAACTTAAGATCATTAACCTTCAATCATTGTAATACTCATGGTCATTACTTTTTTCGTTATGTTTTTATTCCCAAATTCCATTAATTAGCCCATCACATTCTTGACAATAATATTGTCAAATACATTTTGTTCGTTATGAAATGAGGAAAAACACTGACCCACTTTTGTATTTATTGCTTTTCTTAAAATATGTCGATTAAAAAAAATCCTTTTTGAGATATATGTACCGTGTTAATTGAGATAAGATCGATGATAAAAATGTGTCAAAAAAAGGTAAGAACAGTGTTATAACGAACAAAAGTTGAAAATTTTAATTTCAATTAAAAGATAATGCATGGGTTAATTTCATAATTGGCTAATCAACTTTATATTCAGTGCCACCATAATCACCCAATTTGATTTTATTTCACAACAACTATCCAATTTCATATAATGTTTTGCTATGTCCCATCAAATGTTGACTCCTCATAGTACAATAGTAGCAACATGCATTTATAATATCAAATCAGACATCAATTACGTGTATACTCCAACAAAACAACACGAAGAAAAATAAAGAGAGAATCCATTATTACAAAATATAAAACCATTTAAAACAACGATTCACCATCAATCCGCTAAATAAACTTAACTAAATAATTTTCAGAAACGTTAGTACAAATCCAATACTAAGCAATGATCCTCATTAGGTAATATCAATTCATGGAAGAATAGCATCTGGTTGTTGATAAAGAATGGGCTGATTCAGCCAAAAATAAACCACTAAAAAGTTGTGTAATCCCAAATGTTTATACAAAATTATGCTCTTGACGGGCATTCCTCCTTTTATGTGGAACTTTATTTTTGAGTGCTTGCGAACAGTTACTAGTGCAGGAGGTAAGCCTTCACATTTTCTCTACAACTTCTTTTACTTTCACAACATAGCACCATTAGAAATCTACCTTGACAAGTTTCCATTTTCCTTAAACAAAAGACGCATAAAATGCTACCTTTGTGAGATCATGTGTTTGTATAAAGTATGGAAACTTTTCAAGGAAGTTGTAAGGAATTCTAATGATGCTATGGTTGTGAAGGAGCAAATCAAATTGCAAAAGAATGTGAAGGCTTACCTCTTGCCCTAGTAACTGTTGGCAAAGCACTCAAAATTAGACATCCACATAAATGGAGGAATGCACTTCAACAGCGACTGGACTCTTAACAGTACCCAAAACCAAAAAGGATTGCTGTGGTACGATCCAACCCAAATGGATTTGGATTACACATTTTTCGGGATCAATTTTCTGACAATTTAGCCTAGTTTTCGATCAACTGTAACATCTCCAGAACATGCCACTATCTGAAGCTAAAGCAAGGATGAGGCAAAGAAACCAGTCTCTGGTTAGGAACTGGTCCTTTCACAGTGATTAGTCAAAACAGAAATGCAACCATTCCTTCTCTTAAACTGATTTTGGGGACATCTATATTGAACTTGGCATCTCCTTAGCACCTCTAGCTTCAACTATTTTTACTGGCTTGCGGCCTTTATCTGGACCACCAATTATACCCCATCTCTCAAACTGCCTTTGTCGAGCTCTTGCCCTCTCTTTCTCTTCTTCTGATTTTGATGCATAACAGTATGGGCAGGAAACTCCATATTCCCATTCTGGAGCTTCCATGTCAGCATCATTTACTGGTTGCTTGCATCCATAGCAAAGTTTATAAGATCCTTGGGCCAGCCCATGCTCAACTGACACTCGCTTATCAAATACAAAGCATTCTCCTTCCCAAAGACTCTCTTCTCTAGGTACTTCCTCAAGATATTTCAAAATTCCACCTTGTAGATGATAAACCTGGTAACAAAATCAGGTGAGTTCTACATCAATGAGATCATTTCAGCAATGACAGGTACAAATTGTCACAGTATTAATCGAGTTCATGGTATAATTCAAGAATCTTGAATGTAGACCCAAGTCATGCACCAGTGAAGTGGACGATCAGGTTAACCAAACAAAAATCCACACATGAATCTTGAGTATGCAGGAAACACTATGTATGCATACTATAAATGACGTTTACTATAACGGTATGGAATATAACTTAAGTACATGAGTGCCATATGATGGACATCAACCAAAATGTTAACTCTTTAAGAAACTAAGAAAGATGATACAAGAACAAATTTCACCTCTTTAACACCTTTGCTTATGAGAAAACTCGTAGCCTTCTCACACCGAATGCCACCAGTACAATACATTGCCACCCGGGGAGGCATTTTCTTTTCCATTTCCGCAATTTGCTTTTCTTTGGTTTCAATTGAACCTGCAGACTCCACCCGGTCCTTTGATTCAACCAACATGGACCGTTCCTCCACCCAAAATGGAAATTCCCTGAATGCTGTTGTACAAGGATCAACTGCCCCTTTGAACTTCCCAATTCTAGTTTCATAGTCATTTCGTACGTCAATCACCACCTAAATTTTGTACAATTAGGTCAAAGATAAATTTTGAAAGATGCAGAATCAATGCCGTAAAGCTTATCACGTTTATAAATGGAATATAACAAATTAGGTGTACTTGATGGTAAATAAGTATAATAGTAAGGAGACGTTTCCTGGTGGAAAACTGCCCAATATTGACACGAGGAGAATATCGAATATATATCACTAGAAACTTCTGTGGTAAAAAGAGCAGTATCTACCATGAAAGACTTCAAACAAATCCAATCCAACAAGGAATTAAAAAGTGACTACTGTTAAGACCAAGTTCAGAGTATCATTGATATCAATAGTAATTTAAAATGCTAAGAGATAGTAAGTATCCATGTAAAATAAACTACAAAGCAGCAGTTGCAATGGAGAAAAGCCCTTACAGTATTTGGATCGCTAATCAATGCATTCCAATCCTTTGGACTGATGTACCTTCCAACTCTTTCAACAGGTGACACAGAAGGCATTCCGAGTGTAACTATCTATGAACAATACAAAATTTCTAGCTTTTAGAACTGAAAATAACTGAAAGAAGACCTAAACAATATCCAAGAAGGAAAAACTTAAGGTCGAAAATAAATCATGTGATCTTATAGTTTTCGGTCAGTAAGTACTACCTCCTTCTTTAGCTTGACCCTCACATGGTCCCATCGGAAGGGAGCATCTTCCCCAGCAGCTAGAGGAGAAATAGTTGCATGTCCATGATGAATAGCTTCTTCCTCAGGACTAACAGGTGACTCAACACGCCTAAGTCCCTTTAGGCGGTCATCAGTTTGGATAAATGAAAGAACTTTTTCCACGGAATCCCGGGTCCCACATATGCTTCCATTGATTCCTTCTGGTGCAAGAATAATACCCCCCGAAACACGCTGCGAATATCAACTTAATAAGATTTGAATGACATTGTAATGTATATACAGATGATTAAACAAACCAAAAATGAAGCTGTAAAGGAAGCAAAAAGAAGATTCAAGTGCCAAAATACATTGAAAGATGAGCAAAAAATAGAAAGAGAAAAGAAAACTTATGTAGATTTTCAAACTCACCACCTTTTGACAGCCAATTAATTGATGATATTTTAATATTTATGCCATCACAGCATGCTGTCCTTGGAGGCAGGCGGAGTGCAGGGAGGCAAAGATTAGGGAACATAGTTTGCTCAACAATGAGAATGTAAATGCTAGTAATACAAAACATGCAAGGTTACTTGGCCCTCCTTGAATACCATGTTATTGCCACTACAATTTTGTTAAATACAGATGACAATTTTTCACACCAAAATGTAAGAAACGTGTGTTCATCTCAACCTGTGTTTAGCTTCCTGGCCATGCCTGCTTACCTAAAGTTTGGAGGTTACATGATTGAAGATATGGATACATATTGCACACACCCAACTGTGTACCCAAGTACAAGTAATAAAGAACAAGCTTTACGATTATACATCAAGCAAGATTAGTTTAATTTATAAATCTATCAACTAAATTATTTCTAATTGCAAGTTCAGCTCCACACAATGGCTTTTAACAATTTCTCCTCGTCAGTAATTAGCCCTTCCTAACATACTCGCAATTATGAATTTATGATGGCACGCAGCTTACTAAAACTCATCCCATTCAAGTCTTCATCAATGAGATTTAACTGGTAACCAAGCAGCACTTAATTAACTCTATGGTCTCAGCAGAATAATTTTAGTTTTTGGCCGTATTCCAAGAGAAAGTAATGAAAAAATGACACAAAAAATGACAGAACCACACACAAAGTAACATCCACCACATGAAAAAAATAATTAGACGGCCCTATCAGTTTGTTCTTTAAATTTCATTTGTTAGATAACTTGTGCCTACGTTAATGGCTCTGAAAAATGTTGCTCCCAACTGCTACAAACTCTGCGAATTGCTACACGACTTCTCCTGAAGCTCCAGAATCAAAGATGCAGAACTCCTTTAAACAAACTACCCGATGGATTATTATATTATCAAAAGATGACATTTCAACATTACAGAATCTCACAAATAGAACTAGCAATATGATTATTTTACTTCGATTAAAGCTAATTAAAATCCAGCGAAGATTCAGAGAAAAAAAAACATAATCAACGCATGGTGCAATCATATTTTTTTACCAATATAAATTAGTAAAGGAATTTACCAGCTGCTCACAGATCTGTTTTAGGGGCTTCCTAAAATCAGCATGATCTGGAAAATCCGCAAATTTGTAAAAGGACACAACAACAAGCAAACACTCCGTATTCAAAACATTTGGTGTAGGATCCGAGCTTGTAGCTGAACAGAAACATCTCGAAAGAGTGAAGTTACGAGATTTAACGCCATTCTCGGGATCAGCAAATAGAGGAAGATTTGAGGATTTGGATGCCGAAATGGGTTTATTCAGGATAGGGTTTATAGGTGTGAGTTTAGGGTAACGGTTTGGTGTAGAAGTTGAGGACATACTTTTCAGCGCCGCCGCTACAGAAGTCCTCCTATAGAGGAGGAGAGGGTAAGAGTGCAAATGCACATATAGCGGGGTAACCATCTCCCGGCGGCGCTGCACATTTCTAGGGCTAAATGTTTATATAGAAGTAGGGATGAATGTTGGATTGCGTGATTTTTACCTCAATCCAGATCCTTATCCAAATCCAAACCCAAACACAAACCTACAAACCCAAACACAAACCCAACCCATCATAACATGATTAGTTTGATCATAATTTTGCCCAATTCAACCCATATAAGGGTTAAAAGTCAACACAACCCACTCAACTATCGATCGAGTTTGGTCGGGTTGATCGATTTGAGACAACTCGTCAACAAAGATTAAAGTAGGAGGGTCGAATTGGACGAATTTATAATTGTCTCTATAGTTGCGAAGACCAAACAATCTGAATTATTTTGACATTTCATACCCGAAAATGTTACTTGATATTAAATTATATGAAGTTAAGAAATGTTTTTGGCAATTAAAATATTATTGTGTTGAATGTGTATTTGCTTATACTATTTTTTCTTAAAATGTATTATATTCAAATCTTATAATATTATTCTAAGAGTTTCAATGTCTTGTGCCATATTCAAGACTTCTCGTGTATTACGTTTGCGTATATAGAACCTAATTAATTAGTAGTATATAATTTGTGTATGATTTCCTCAAACTTTTCAACTATTGTACAAAATTTCCTGCAACAAGAACTGATATTTTAATTTAGATTTTTCTGAATATTGTAGCACTTGGAGGTTATGTAAAGAAACAGAGTGACTCGATTTCGTCCAAGTAACATCATAATACTTGTAAAATTCATAAATATAGTCGAGTTGGGTTGGCCAGATTTATTTGATTTTCATGAGTTAACTTATAATCAAATACAATCCGCCTACACAACCAACCCACCAAATCCGTTTAAAAACAACAAAATAAATGATCCAAACCGGTCGGGTTTATTCGGTTTGGGTGGGTTCGGTCGAATTTTGCCAACCCCTGTATATAACTCGATTTGATTCTCTCTACTTTAACTAAAATTATTTGTCGTACTTATTTTTAATCATGAAATAAAATAAAATATTTTACATATAAATTTAAAAGTTTTTCTTACTTTTTAATCATACATTCTTGAATAAATACTATTTGAAATATAGTTTTTGAAAATTGAAGTCTACGAAACAGGCTGAATTTCTACACGAATTATTTTCAAAATTTTTATTAAGAGAAATTTTATGAAAACAACAAAGGTAGGATAATTTGGGTTAAGAATTAGAATAAAGCTTCTTGTACATTTCATAGATGACAATGTGGGTGACATTGTGTACAAATTCAAAAATGAATGGGCGGGAAAGTGTGTTTTGCTTTAAAACTGGCCACTTGTGCTGCGATACGTGGCACAATATCAAACTTGATGTCAGAAAAAGTGTACATGTAGCATGATTGTAAGAATTAGGAAGTTAGGGTCGATTATGGAAGTGGTGAATTAAGAAATGAAATTTTTAGCCTCGGATATGGTGGGTGTTAAACTGAAATTGGGGTTCGTCCTCGTTCTTTTTATATAACTTCATGCAGTCCTTCCCGCAACTAAATAGTTCAATTTTCTTTGAATTCCATTTATCTGTCAACGTGTTCTTCTTTTTCACCATTCGATTGTTGAAAGTCAATTTAATAATTATTTTAAGCTTTTATAGTATTGAAGTAATTGAACTTTACACTGTATTTTGTTACGGGTTAATGAACATAATCGACACGTGGCGTCACGTTATGACTGAGGGACCAGCTTGATTAAATCACGTAACGATTCTCTAGCTTCAGACGTGGGTTCCAAGGCCCTAACTATTATTACGAGCCCCTT